GAGATCTAACCTTCTGGATCAGTTTTTTATATGGCACCATGCCAAATGCCTTCTGGAAGTCTAGATATACCATGTCCACTGGATCCCCATTACCCATCTCGCTGGTTACATCCTCAAAGAACTCCAGCAAGTTTGTCAGGCATGACTAGCCCTTCATGAAACCATGCTGACAATGGTGAATTGAGGTTAGGTTTTTCCAAGTGTTCAGTTATCTCCTCCTTCGTCATTGGCTCCATTAACTTCCCCACTACAGAGGTTAAACTAACTGTTCTGTAGTTTCCCACGTTTTGCGTATCTCCTTTTTTCAAATAAGGGTGTCATATTAGCGTGTTTCCAATCCACTGGTACCTTTCCAGAATCCAGGGAATTTTGGAATATCATAACTAATACATCCACTATCTCTGTTGCGGCTTCCTTTAATACCCGAGGGTGAAGGCTATCAGGCCCCTGGGACTCATCTGCCTTTAATTACTTAATACCTCCTTAGTTACAATAATTTCACCAAGTTCTTCTGTAGTGATTGCAGTTTTTAAGAATAAATTATTATCTTCCACTGTGAAAGCAGAAAAAATATTGTTTTAGTGCCACTGCCATTTATGAGTTTCCCATTGTTACCTTGCCATTTTAATCCTTTAGGGGCCAACATTTACTTGCACTATTCTCTTCCATTTTATAAACTTATAGAAGCTTTTGGTATTAGTGCTTATGTTTTCTTCTAGTTTTCTTTCATAATTCATCTTAGCTGTTTTGATTTCGGTTTTAGTGACCCATTGCTGATGTTCAAAGTTCTCTCAATCTTCCGGCGTGCCACTAACTTTCTGATTATAATCTATGCTTCTCTGCATCCATGATACCTCATGAACAAGAACAAGATTCAGACTAAAGACATTTTTCGTGAGATGTGACCATCCTTGGATATGCCTGCATTTATTACCCGGCCATAATTGCCACTGAGAAAATGATGGTGAGCTGTCTTGAACAATTGCAATTTATCTGATTTTGATACACTCACAGTCCATTTAGGAAGAGTGTTCCAGGTTTTTATCCCAGTGGCAAGGAAGGAATGGTGATACATTTCTATTGTCAGGATAGGGTGTGGCTTAGCAGGGAATTTGCAGATGGTGGTGTTACCTTTCCATGTGCTAGAGTTCTTGAACTTTGAAGGTGTATTTGAGAAGATTTAGTGAGTTGCTGCAGTGCGTCTTGTAGATGGTACACATGGCTGCCAGTATTGTTCATTGAGTGGGCTGCTTTTGCCTAGTTTGTACTCAGTTTCTTGAGTATTGTTGGAGCTGCACTAATCCAGGCAAGGAGAGAATATTCCATTGTATTCCTGATTTGTGCCTTGTAGGTAATAAACAAAATTTGGAGAGTCCGAGAGTCAGTTGTCAACCTCAGAATTCCCAGCATCTGATTTTTTTTTTCTGTAGAGAATTTATGTGGCTGGTGCAGTTATGTTTGGGTCAACAATGACGCCCAGGATATAGTTGGGGGAATTTGGAGATGATAGCACCATTGAAAGTCAAGGGGAGATAGTTACATTGTGTTTTATTTTTCTGTCTGGCAATTGGGTGCATGAATGTTGAACATTTATTTTGCACAGAAAGCTTTTCTTGAGTATATAACAGTGCTGCATCTGACCTGGGAATGTGAGACATCTTACTTCTGTGTTCTATATATATATTTAAGTGGAAAGTCTGAGCCACTTCTCTAAGTACAATTCCAGAGTGTGCGCAGCTTATGTTTGTATCATTTCTGCCTGACCTTGCACTCCAATTTCCCCTCGAGGGAAAGTCTTCTGTGGATGAATTGGAAAACTGTCTAGGCATTTTTTTGAATTGAACCAATAAAATACCATTATTTGTGCAGTATTATCTGTTTTTGTTTGCTCCACTTTACTTGTGACAAGGCTTTAAATCACAATGTTGTTCTGTACCCTAATCTACCATGGACAGTGGCTCTGCTACTCTGTAATGAATGGAACAGTATTTCTTTGTTTGACCAACATAATCTCTTTCTTTCTAAACTGTTAAAACATCAAATATGGATGTCTACAACAATCCTTGTATCAGACATCTTTGAGTTCACAAAAAAAATCATTGCTTCTTGTAAATACAGTGATTTTTCAACACTTTAGTTTATTTAAAACAGGTCTTATGTGCAGTCCTTGCAATGTTATTGATCATTTTTATTTTAATTTGTCAAATACATTTGAATTTGACCCTGACACTAGTGTGAGAGGTTGGTGTCATGATGTAATTTCTTGTATTAACGTTACCAACTACAGGGCCATTGAGCAGTAGGATGAACTGAACTTTGCAGATATCAGTAATTGACATTAAGTTACCATTTCTTAGCAATTTATTTGCACTTTTAAGACTGTGAAGATCATTTAAATAGTTGGTTTATCTTAGGAGTCAGCAATACATTAGTAACTGGTTATTTGTGATACTTGATTAAAATTAGAAGATATGACCCAAACTTCAAGGTTTTTGTATGCTTGGTAGGTGGTATTTACTGTGAATCAGTGTTTGTATTGGACCACTTTTGCACTTTGTGCATCCACCCTCACCTCAGAAATGACCTAAGTCAGATATGCAGAAAAAATCTCTACTTTTGCAACAACATGATTTAATGTCAGCCGCAGCAGAGCACTCCTACCTCGGAGGTTGATGTTTTACCAAAAGACGTTCTTGAGAACACTTTGACTAATATTCCAATTTATGATCAACTTGTGTTGCTGTTTAGCGCTCTGAAGTTGTGTCCACTAGAAACTAAATTTGAGATTGTCGGTATTAATTTCATGTCAGATCCCTCGAACAGGCAGAACTGATTGTCAGGCTCCATACAAGTGAAAGAACACTCTGCTTAGCAACTGCATCTCCTGTGCAGTGTTCTACTAACCCAGTCCTTTCAGAGAGGGATTGTTAGGATATTTGTGCAAATGAGGAAAAGTGAACTAAAGTTTGTGAAAAAAAAGAGTTTAGGATTAAGGCAAAATAACTGTTATCCTGTGGAGTAGACTGCCATCTAGTGTAATGAATGTGAACTCATTGGAAATATTCAATTAAAGACAGATTTATAATTGAACATAGAATATAAAGATTCGTGTTTGACCTGAAAAGGTGAGTAAAAAATGAGTTTTGTACATGGCCTAAGAGCAATGTTAATGGAATGGTTTTTTCCCATTCTGAATTTCTTGTACGTTTTCCATCAACATGGTGGTCGCTCCTGCTTTATCCCACAATTCCCAGACCTACCACATTTTATCCCACTGTGTAGGGCAAACAAAAATGGATGTGAACTTTTCATGACAGATCTGGATTTTGCCAGCCTCTGAGGAAGTTAGGGATCCGGAAAAGTGTCAAAGGAAGTTGGCTGGAAAGGGGAGGTCTTCCTCCTGTAATTTGACAGTACCAGCATTTGGAGAGGTGATTGATGTTGCATCATTCATAGGCTAATTAAGTAATTTAAATGGCCAGTTAAGAGCTTTTCTCACTGCTGGTATTGTACCAAAACAGGAACGCATTCTACTACATAGGGAAACTGCTATGTTATTTGTGGCAGTTGCCCAGCAGTGCCTTGAGATTACAGAGTTCCTAGTTGATCACTTTTGGCCCAATGGCAGTACTCTCATCCACCCCTTTTGCTGGGGCAAAAGTGTCACATGCCTTTACCAGCTTCTCTATTTAGAGCTTGGTAAACTGGTCTTGGTTTTCTCTCTTCCCTGTTTGTCTAGGTGGAGGTCAGCATCTCTCCATGGCATCCTGGACTTCTAAGTGCAGTCGTAGCCATGTCTTTTTCAGGTGCTGCTTCTAGGCTGCCATCTACTCAATTGGCTGACAGATTCTGGGGGTTGGCAGCTGATAGTAACCCTGAAGATAAATAATTACACACAGGTCTCGGTAAAACGTGGCTGGGTTCCCATAAACAGCAGAGACATAGTTACCTCCTGCTTTTGGCCCTTGCTGCAGTGATATAATTTCAGCTATTGTGTTGCACCAAGTCATCGTTTGTGACCTGGGAAATGTCTTATAAAGCCCCTGCCAGTGAGGTAAACTCATGCTATGTTCCTTGCTGTAGTATACTATTTACACCACATTGTATATTTCAATGCTTCTTTATAGAAACAAATGACAATATATTGACTAAAGCAAAATGGGCAGCTACCTGACAATTTTTGACATTCTCTTAGAAATTGTGTGGTGTGTTCTTTTGGATAATATGATTTTGAGGTTTCTGTCTGAGTGATGGATAGATTTAGTTTAGAAAGGTAAAAAGACCCAGCAGGTTTTGATTATATTTTATGTTTAAAAATTTACTAATGTTCCTTTTTTCTATCTTTTTTACTTCCCCCTGTTTGTACCCTGGAGCCACTAGTGTTAGCTTTTACTACTTTGGCACATTCCCCTCCTTTAGCGTCAAACAAGCTTAAACTAGCTGGTAATAGAACTTGAAAATGTGTCATGTTTTTTCTGCATATATAAATTATATATATGGTATGTTATACATTTAATTAATAGTGAATTATTTGTGCTTTTTCATATCTGATATAAATCTAAATATTTAAGCACATTCCAATAAGTACCCAACATAAATTTTAAAAGTTAGAGAAGACAGAATAAAAGGTTCCAGCACTCAAAATGAGTCATTTTGCCTGGAAGGATTTTGGCTGCTAAAATACAATTTTTGGAGTCAAGTGGAAACATTTGGAGCCAGTATGTATGGAGTGTGTCATTTTAATGAGAGTCCAGGAGTCATTAATGACTGCAGAAGTGTTTTGGAGCATATTAGTGGCCAAAATCAGGTTTGAAATAGTAAATTTTAAAAATATATTTCAAATTTCATAGACTTTCTACTTTAATATTTTTAAGCTGGTGCTTCAACGTATAAGAGGGCATGGCTTCTGCATTTTTTGGTGTTTCATGACAAATACTACTACTTTTAGTAGTTTGTCAATCTTGCAATGCATTACTCTCTTCACATTTTGTTTTGTTTAGCAGGCAATTTATGTAATCCACACTCTGGATCATGTGTTCAAAAGATAAGCAGATGTCACTGATGAAGCTATTGCCTTCATTAGTCTCGAACAGGAAGAATCATACCTAAATAACCGTATCTCCAAAATTCTTAGCATTAGATTGCAAGACCATTTATGGAATTATTGGATTTAAGATAAGTAGACAATTTTGTGATGAAATAATGTGTGATTAAAAAGCCTGTTTATTTATAAGAATGGAGAAAAGAGAATTAACCATTTCACTATGATCAGTTTGTATTTAGCTTTGAACAAACTCATGCTCACATTATTTATAACACTTTAGTGGGGCAGGGGGTTCGGTCAAGTGCAACATTGAGTAATTTAAACTGTCACAAACATGCTTCTGGAATCAATGACTCATATTTTGAATATGTCCACTTAGAAAATAGAAATTGAGAATATTTCTCAAGTATCAAAACCTATCCCGTTACTTGCATGCAATTCTCCAAGGTCTGTGGGCAACCAAATCTATAGATCATTCAAAACACAAAATCCATTTTCTCAATCATGCAAAGCATTGAAAGTACTATACGGAACTATCTCTCAACAGACTTGTATAATCATGGTTCAGAAATAGTGCACACGTTACAGGCCTCATGTGATTCCTCAGCTTCCTAAATACTATGTGTGCTAAATACATTCTGAATACTTAGAACAGCCACAGGGCTAATGCATTCTGTGCCAAAGATTCTCACTTGCTGCTTATGAGACCAAAATGTACATGTTATGATACCAAAAATTGTATGCACACATTTGTCAAGATTTACCAGAACCTTCAGATATAATGTAGTGACGTAGTGGTACTAAAATGATTTTTCTACTTTGAATATTATGGTTTGGACTAATTTCAGGAAGCATTTCAAACAGAATGAGTAATGACTGCAATGATCTTCTGAATGAGGCAGTGGAGGTGAAAATCTGGACTCGTTAAATAGGCAACTAGATTTTGTGATGAAAAGACTTCAGATGTCTATGGAAAGATGAAGTAGCAGAACCAGACAGTTATCATTTTGTAGTTATCTTTGCAAGCTTTGCCATATGAGGATATCAACAGTACTCGTCTTAATTTAACAAGTTGCAGTAATTTGGATTTGAACTTGCAAAGATTTGAGCAAATACAAAGGATAAGTCTATTTCTTCATAGTAGGATGGGTGCATTTGTGAGCTTTTTTCAGTAGTTTTGAATTTTTAAAAAAAACCTTTTCCAAATTGGCTTAGCTACTTTTGAATTTTTTCTTTCCCTTGAAGGCACAAGTTTTGATGGTAATGATTGTACACTTGCCTTTGTATTTTTGATAACAGATAGGTAGAACAAAAGAAATTTTAAATAACTTGACTGTTTTTGCTGAGATCAGCTAACTCATTACATATCAGGAATTAAACTTGAGATCTAACTAATTTGAATAGCTCAGTAATTCAACAATTTGTATATTGATTCACCTGAGCCATTGGCATACATCTATTTATATTTTGTAAATCAAATCATCTGTGTCATAAGTTTAGCAAATCTAAATGTCATTCAGGGTTACATTCATAATTAGTTCAAATTATTATCCTGGGACTTGTACTGGTAAATGTGTGCTTATCAGTTGCAAATTGTCTCTTAAATTTTTCATAGATTAATGTCCTGCTGATTTTTAACTGTTTCAGCTCACTGATGAAGAATCCCCATTTAGGTACAGTTCCAGAGTGTAACCATACCTTCAGAAGAGTTACTGCTTTAGCAAAGGGTAGAGGAAAAATTAAGTTGACTTGCAAAAATATGACGAGAGGACAATTGTTTTGTGAGCATTTATATGATCAGAACTGGTAAATGAATATGTAAATTAATTTATACACCTAATATTAGAATTGAAATTAAACAGAGCTGCCAATTCAGATGGACACTTTTGTCAGCCATTGGCAGTGAATGGTAGTGGGGAGAAAATTGACTGAAAAAGGTGAAAAAGTGGTGAATTATGAAAATGTTTTTCCCAGGAATGTAATCAAATAGTGTTAGATGTTGTGAAGTTAGCTCCTTTTAAAAATGCAGACAGCTTAGCAAAAAATATGAGGAAGAAGCCAATGGCTGAAGATGATTGGTTGCGAGTAGCATTAGTGTATTTGAAGAAGTAAAATTTGGTTTTACAAAACTCGTGATTCATATTTCCCATGCTTTGCAAAAATGAAAATTGCTGGTTTGCCCCCTACCTTGATCAAAGGAACACTGCAGGCATGAGTGTAAAATGAGAGTCAGATAATGGAATGCACCAAATTGGCACTATGTTCAATCATAACAACTGTCAAGTATAGACATTAATAAGTTTTCTTCAGATGTTGAAAAAATGTTTTCATATCAAAGAGTTAGTGGGTGTCCCAATTGCTCATCGATTTTCATTGTGACTTTTCTGATTAGGCATGAAATGCAGCTGATGCCTGCATAAATTAAAGTGCAGTTTAGTAGACAAAATTAATTGAAAGAACAAGACTCCAGTGCTAACAGGTGCAAGAAAGGCTTAAGAACCGAGCAAGGTTGGTGAGCAACAGGAAGTAGGCATGCAGAGTTGGAGGGATTAGGAATAGGGTTAGGACTTGGTGGGTGGTTGGCAATCAAGGCTGGGGGGAGCTTGCAAAGAGGATCAGCATTCAGAGCTCAGGGAAGGCAAAACTTTCTTGAGATGCTTGAAAAGGAGGGAAGTACTGCTTTTCCTTCTGGTCACAATGTATTGAAGGAGGCAATTGCTGCAGGAGCTGACAACTCCTATTTCCCTTTGACTGCTAAGTTTTCTGACTCCGGGCAAGCATACCCTGCAGTAAATTGAAGGCCCCAATCACTGTTGAGGATGCCTGATTTAAATACGTTAACAAACTGCCCTGCCTCTCGATTTCAGTGCATTTGAAAGACCAAATATCCTGCCTTGTGTAAAGGGCAGCAGATACACGAGCAATAGGTTGGGGTCACTGAGCATGCATTTCACTTTCAAATGCCCATTTTGGTCATATGGGCATTTAATCTTGAGGCCTAAATTTATTTTGTTGACCTTAGTCTCGATACCACGTTTTTGGCTGTTTTATTTTCTCAGAGAAGAAAAGTGGAATTGTGAACAGAGGTCTAGGACAAAAAAAAAGCATACCACAGGCAATTGTTCACTCTGTGATAGAGGCTTGCTAACCATGGTTTGCTATGGCAAAATGCATCTGACTAATACAGATGCAAAATAATTATGGAAAATGCTAGAAATACTCATCAGGCCAAGCAGCTTACAGTTTTTATTTCAGATTTCCAGTATTGCAATCTTTTGCTTTTGAATTTGAGTTAAATTCTCTTCCTGGTATTCCCAGCATGAAGGAATTCTGTTCTTTACAAACGATATCTGTTTATTTGTGCTATTTTCTTCACTTCACTTCTTTCTATTTCCCTTCTCAAGTGTGATCAGGTATCTACAAAAACACACTTGCGCAGCCATATCTCCTTCCTTAGCAACTGTCTCCAACTCCAATTTATTCTATAATAAAAAGAGCGCAGAGAAACTCAGCAAGTTTGGCAGTACTTGTGGAGAGATAAACCGAGTTAACATCGGGTGTGGTATGACTCTCTTGAACTTGGTCTCTCCATCGAAAACTGTCAATGTGACATTGACCATCTTAATTTCTCTACACCCCTTATCCACTCTAATCTATCTCTCTCTGAACTTCTGCAGTCAATTCTCTCAAGACTAACCCTGTCTTTGTTATTGAACAGTTCAGGAGAATATCATTCTTGATTTAAAATGTTAACTTGGTTTCTTTCTCAAAAGCTGCTGTCAGAGCTACGGAGTTTCTATTTCAGATTTCCAGTATTGACGGTGCTTTTGTGTTAGCCAACTTATTCCAAATGGATTCCAAATGAAATTTCACTCTTGATGTTTTGATCCAGCCACTCTAACATTGAGATCTCCTTGAACTATTCTGATTGTATCCTAGGATTCACTGTCAATGTCAGGCACTGCAACATGCACACTCTCAGCCTCTTTCTTATGCAGTACAGACTCAGTCTATCTCAAAGCAGTCCAGACCCACAGTTCTGTTTTGCCATTTGCCTCATTTAGCTGTTTGCCTCATTCCAAGCTTCAACAAAAGACTTTTTAAACATCCTTTCAAGTGTGAGCTTTAAAAAACCCTGCTGATCTGCTGAGTATTTCCAGCATTCCTGTTTTAATTTCAAAATTGTCCTGCTACATTTCTTTCAAAAATCTCTCATAATCAGGATGTTTCAGTATTTGTAATTCAGCGTAGGTGACTGGATTACCTGTTCTCTTAGTGGCTTACAAAGTAGTTCCTGTCCTCAACCAGATAGGGAAAAATGGGGAGATTGGAGCTGAGAAAGACTGAATGAAAGTTAGACACTTCTTCAAAAGTGGGTGTGAAGGAAAATCAGGGGCAGATAACCTTAACCTTTCTTTTGGCAGAGTTCTGTGAACAGGCTGACGGTCCACTTGCCAGTAGAGATCTGAAGAGGGAGTTTAAAAAAAAACTAGACAGAAAAAAAATGCTGGTGGGCAAATATAAATACAAATTCCTAGTGTTTTCCCAGTTTGCTTAATAACCGGAAAGCAATAAAGAAAAATAATTAAGTACAACAGTAAAAGGAAAGAACATTGCAGCTTTCCAATCAACAGAAAAAATGTCATCTGCATAAAGAGGTGATTCATGAGATTTTTCTCCTGCTGGGATTCTGTCGAGGTCAGGATCTTGCTTGATCACGGCAGCTAATGGTTCTGTTGCTGTAATAAATATTGTTGAAAGTGGTCACGGACAGCCTTGTAGAGTGCCTCTTTGTAATATAAAAGATGTGAAATATTCAGCCATTACTACTAACTTCCTCTTTAAGTGAAGAATGTATTGTCTTAATCCATTTCGCAAAAATTGGATCAAATCCACATCTTTGTAAAGCATATTAGAATAAGTAACTTAAATACACATAATTTTTTTAAAAAACGCTTTTTTGACATTCAAGAAAATAGATCCACTGCTACAACTTATTGAGTTCAGCTGCAGTAATGAAGTTGTGTTTCTC